AACCAATTAAGATGGTTTTCTTCACTCCTGTTTAGTTTATGATGCTTTGAGAGGATATATTTTGGAATTGGTGGAGGATTATTTCTTGTTTCACCTTCACATTGACTGATATCATATTTCTTACTAAAAGTTGCGATTCAAAAGCATTAATCAGGAGTCTTGTTGGCAAATGTGCAAGTGAAAAGACATTCCTGTAACATTTGCCTTCTTTCCCTGCCTTTCTGTCTGTCTACTTTCCGTCCTTCCCTCACTCATCTCTTCAGTCTCTCATCTGGCACATGTTCAGTAACCTCCGCAGGCCAGAGAGACGGCCACTCTGCGGGCATCAGAGAATGACGCTGACAGCCTCTGCCCTCTTGGAGCTTCATCATGTCAAGTGTAGAAGCCACAAAACAAGTAAATCAGTAATTAAACCCTGGAAAATATTATAACACAAAAATAACACACATGCACAAAAATAAAAGCATTCCGAGGGCCCTTCCACAGTCACCCTAGTGCCAAAAGAACAGGGAGCTTCACGAGGCGCCTCATGTGACTGATGCTTCATGGTGAAGACGACCCAGCAGAGGCACAGAGGGTGGTGAGTGTTAAAAAAAATACTCACTACATAAAAACTCAGAGTTATGTCTTATTCAGTGGGAATTTTTTGGACTTCAAGCCTGGGAGGCAGCATCTCAAATAACCCCAAGAGAACTGCTCAGAGGAGGTGGCGGGGGGAGCCACGTTATATAGAAGGTTTGCAAGCAAAGGGCAGATAGTCTGAGTGTCAAATGAATTTTTTGTGAATTAAAGAAAACCAGGTATCCCAAGTTAAGGAATTCAGCATTTTTCTTTGTATGGGAAGACAGAGTCTGGGCTCACTGAAATCACCCCTTTGATATGCACTTTAGCTGTCTGGGACCAGTGTCCTGCATTTTCACTTCCTCAGCTTCCTTTCCTCCCAGCTCACCATGGGGAGTGGCTGCAATCTAGATGACAGGTTTTCTTCTGCTTCCGGAGTTCCCTCAGGGCTGCAATCACTGATGACCATGACGTCCTTGTTTACTGATACGGCAAGAAATATTCCATTTCTCAATGGACAAGCACCTAAATCGACACTACCGTACCATTCTCTGAAGTGCTAAGCCCTATAGTTTTGTTAGATTCCTGGATCGAACAAATCCCTGGATTTGTTAGTCAGCTGGAAAGTAGATACAAGGTGTGCAGAAATATACACTGAGAAATTTTGGTCAATGATGTTGAGTACTTTTAAATCAAATTTTTAAAGATCTTTTAAAATTTGTTTTCCCCACACAGTTGCTTAAGAATCCAAACTGCATATGTGAGCATATGGATGTTTGCATCATTATTGATTTGGTTTCACAGAGTAATAATCCATGAGAAAAAGAAATAATCATCAGCCAGTTGTCTTTGTTCACCTGTTGGATAGGATTTAGTTCTCTCACCCATGGTTCCTGTGAAGATAGTGTGTTGTTGTTCAGTCGCTAAGTCACGTCCGACTCTTTGTGACCCCATGGACCCGCAGCATGCCAGGCTTCCCTGTCCTTCACTGTCTCCCAGAGTTTGCTCAAACTTATGTCCATTGAGTCACTGATGTCTTTCAACTATCTCATCCTCTCTCATCCCCTTCTCCTCCTGTCTTTAGTCTTTCTCAGCATCAGGGTCTTTTCCAATGAATCAGCTCCTCGCATCAGGTGGGCAAAGTATTGGAGCTTCAGCATCAGTTCTTCCAATGAATATGCATAGCTGATTTCCTTTAGGATTTACTGGGTTGATCCCCTTGCTGTCCAAGGGACTCTTAAGAGTCTTCTCCAGCACCACAGTTTGAAAACATCAGTTCTTCAGTGCTGGTAACAGTCAAAACATGACAGTTATTCAGTTGGACTCCCGCCTATTCTGCCGCTCCCCACCTAGACTCCTGCAGTGCTCTAAAATATTCTATTTTATCCCGAGTCTTTTTTTTTTTAATGTTTATTGGAGTATAGTTGATTTGCAGTGTTGTGTTAGCTTCAGCTATACAGCAAAGTGAATCAGTTGTACATACACATGTATCCACTCTTTCTCAGATTCTTTCCCTATGTGGACCACTATAGAGTACTGAGGAGAGTTCCCTGTGCTAAACAGCAGATTCTTATTAGTTATCTATTTTATCCATGCTGCTGCTGCTGCTAAGTCACTTCAGTCGTGTCTGACTCTGTGTGATCCCATAGACAGCAGCCCACTAGGCTCCCCAATCCCTGGGATTCTCCAGGCAAGAACACTGGAGTGGGTTGCCATTTCCTTCTCCAATAGTACTGTGTATATTCCCTGGTGGCACCAGGGATAAAGAACCCGCCTGCCAATGCAGGAGATGTAAGAAATGCAGGTTTGATCTCTGAGTCAGGAAGATCCCCTGAAAAAGGACACGGCAACCCACTCTATTATTCTTGCCTGGAGAATCCCATGAACAGAGGAGCCCAGTGGGCTACAGTCCATAGAGTGCAACTAAAGCAACCTAGCACACACACGCATGCACGCACATGGGCACTCTGTATTCCCAAGAGTCTTCCTTAAGCCTCATCAGAGCCTTGCTGCTCACTGGGTAGTGGCGGGCCTGGCTCCTAACTTCAGCCTCAGACCTTGTTTGATTGTCAGGATTTCCCGAAGGGCCGCAGGGGCTCCCTGCCTTTCACTGGCCCGCAGGAAGCCTGGCCGTTCTGTCTGCCGGTGGATGCTGAAGTCACCTTCCGTGAAGCTCCCACTTGGTTTGCACCACTCTCCTGATGCCCTGCTCATCTTTGTGCCTTTGCGTCATATGGGCAGGAAGACCCGAACATCCCTGGGCTGAACTTCCCACCAGCTGGGAACTGAGGTCTCCAAGTCAAAATTAGATTGACTCATATAATAAATACATACAAATTTTCTTGCATGCTGAAGTGTGATTATTTATTAAAATGCTGTGGTGCTGCACAGTCTGCCCCCCTGTTCTGTCCATCCGCCTACTTTGCTGTGTGTTCACAAACACACTCTTAGAGACAGGTGCGTGTATGCATGCTAAGTCACTTCAGTCGTGTCTGACTCTTTGCAACCCTATGGCCTGTAGCCCGCCAGGCTCCTCTGTCCATGGGATTCTCCTTATTTTTAATCTTTCCAGCATCCATTGCAATTCTGTTTGTGCTTAAACTTTCTCAAAAGTTACATGTTTAACCAACTAACCTAAAATAAAATTGAGCAATGATTTAGTGATATTGAATATATCATTATATGCAAAATTAACAGTTCATAATCAATGTGGAGAAGGCAATGGCAACTCACTCCAGTACTCTTGCCTGGAAAATCCCAAGGACAGAGGAGCCTGGTGGGCTGCAGTCCATGGGATCACTGAGAGTCGGACTTGACTGAGCGACTTCCCTTTCACTTTTCCTTTCATGCACTGGAGAAGGAAATGGCAACCCACTCCAGTGGTCTTGCCTGGAGAATCCCAGGGATGGGGGAGCCTGGTGGGCTGCCGTCTATGGGGTCTCACAGAGTCGGAGACGACTGAAGAGACTTAGCAGCAGCAGCAGCATAATCAATGAATGATCAGTGGAGATGTTTCAGATACATATTCCATAATGAACTCAGGATACTATATATCCACTTCAGTAAACATCCTCCATCTCTAAAGACTCTCCTAGGAATGGAAAACTGGGAAGGTAACTTCTGTCCAGACCTTCAGAGATTAGCAGATCAATCAGAGGCCTTGAAGCCAAAGGTTCTAGATTCCACTTCCCCTTTGAGAATACTTCCTAGCCCCATTGTCTGTGGTGATAGAGTGAGAATTATGATGTTTTGAAACTCAGGTTCCCATGGGATTTATTCAGCCAGGGTGATCTGAGGAGCTTGCCCTCAGAGGTGCTTCTAGAGGGTAGGATCCATGCCCTGGATTGGCAGATTGACTGGAGGGGGTGGGGTTTCACTTCCACGCACCACAGGCAACAGCCTGTGTTTCAAGTCTGTGTCCTGATCCTGGGGGGTTGACTGTGCCATGCCCCTTACTGGCTGGGAGGACCCTCCTTCATGTCCCTCGCAGCCACTCTGGGGTAATCTGTGTGGTTCAGGTGACCCTGGCCCACTTGTCCTGGGGCAGCACTTAAGGCCAACATGAGTGTAAACACATGATGAACAGAAAATGTGGAGGAGGGAGGGGGTTTGGGTCAAAATGGATGTTCAGTAGGATGGGTAAGAAGAATCCATGGAGCTGAGACTCAGGAGAGCATCCCAGAGAACCAGACAGACAGAGAGGGAGGGTCTAGATGCAGACACACAGACGGATATACTTTCCGGGCAGGAAGGATGCAGGAGCCTCCTTTGCCACCTGCATATCTGCGGCCATCTGTCAGGTGGGGTCCACTGTGCTGGGCAGCAGGATCAGCTCCTCTGTCTGGCACCGAGAATCCAGCCCCTCTCACTTGATGTTCTCCATGGGATGGTGCAAAGCCGGCTGCTTTGGACCATGGTAAGCTCCGCTGTGGGCTTGCCTGGTGGCTCAGACGGTAAAGCATCTGCCTACAATGCAGGAGACCCCGGTTCAATCCCTGGGTTTGGAAGATCCCCTGGAGAAGGGAATGACAACCCACTCCAGTACGCTTGCCTGGAAAATCCCATGGATGGAGGAGCCTGGTGGGCTGCAGTCCACTGGGTCGCAGAGTCTGACACGACTGAGAGACTTCACTTTCTTTTTTTCTTTCAAGCTCTTCTGTGCTCTGGGTCTCCAGACCTGTGTGGGGACCAGGCAGCTGGTAGCCAAGTGGTCCTCATCCCAGTTCTATGTCGGCTGTGCTGAGAGCTGTCAAAATGCTGGTGCCTGGCCCCACATCCAGCATGGCTGACCAAATACGTCCAGGGTGGGTCTCCGGCATTTGTCCAAGCTCCTCAAATGGCCCTATGTGCAGCCCACCTGGAGAAGCCTGGTGGTTTAGCTAGTGAGTGACAGTGAGACCGCGGACCTTACTTTTCTACGTTCCCTGTTGCCTTCGCAGATTACGGCACCATTAAGAAGGTGCGGGCGCCCCTGACCCAGACCTCGGGTGGATGTGTGCTGGAAGAGATGGAACTCTTCCCCGAGAGGCGGCCCGAGCCCGTCAGGAGTCTGCGGATCCTCCACAGCCAGAGCGTCCTGTTTGTGGGCCTGCGGGAGCACGTGGCCAAGATCCCACTGAAGAGGTGCCAGTTCTACCGCTCACACAGGTAGGGCAGCCCCAAGGGGGGTCCATTCCACGTGCTGGCGCTCCTTGTAGACACCTCACCCAGGGAGAAGGCCCAGGAGCCCCGAGGACATTCAGATTTCCTGTGTCTGAGAGGGATGAGGACCAGAGCATCCTTGTGAGTCCTGCATCCCTGGATGCAGAGACTTCTGATACACACCAGCTTGCTATGACGACAATAATACATCAGCCTCCCTGGAGGAAGAACCGCTTATGACATCTGTAAGCAGTATGTCAGGATTGAAGTGAATTGTTCAGTGAGTTTGGAGAATGACATGGCAACCTACTCCAGTATCCTTGCCTGGAGAATCCCATGAACAGAGGAGCCTGGAGGGCTGCAGTCCAAAGGGTCACAGAGTCAGACATGACTGAAGTGACTGAGCATGCACTCAGCATTGAGTGATAATGCTGATATTTGGTGTTCCTGGATTAATCTGGCACAAATTATATGTATATATTGACCTGGTCACTAAAGTATTTTAAAGTTCTCTTTCTTATCTGTGTGTATTGTATGTTCAGTTGCCCCCTAGTCTCCGACTCTTTGTGACCCCATTTGACTGTAGCCCACCAGGTTCCTCTGTCCATGGGATTATTTCAGCAAGAACACTTGGAATGGGTTGCCATTCCCTCCTACAAGGGATCTTCCCAGCCCAGGGATCAAAACCCACATCTCCCGTGGCTCAGGTGGATTCTTTATCACTGAGCCACCTAGCAAGCCCCACTTTCTTATCTAACACATACTAATAATACTAACCTAATGGAATAATACATATTATGCAAGATTTAAAACACTCTGCAAAGTAGGTATTCTTACGTAAAAGAAGGTTCTTGTACTTAACAAAAATCATTACAGTATTCCTTTCTAGATGGTTTTAGACAGCACAGTATATAATAAAATTCCTCTTTTGGTATCAGAGTTTTGAGAAACAAATAACATTAGGGCCCTCCCAACTAATAACAATGCTCTTGTGAATGCTGATAACAAATAGTGATATTGATTAAGGACTATCTTTTATGTAACTGCTTTTCCCTAAATGTAACCAATGGCTGCGTGTAGTTTGTTCTGCTTTATGTTTCCTGCAGCACTAGCCCAGGGCAGATATTATTCTGGCCCAGGTCTTGATGCCTCAGTTGTTGACAGGGAAGGCTGGGGTCTTCTCAGTGGGAGTGTCACAAGTTCAATGAACCTGAAAGGTCAGTCTTCCAGTTCCAGGCCAGAAGCTCTGGGGATGTGACATAGGACATCACGCAAGCAGTCAGTCTGAGCCATACACAGGTGTTTCTGGTGCCAGGATGGATGTTAGTATTTTGCAAAAGGTTTTAGCTGCTCAGTTGTGTCTGACTCTTTGTGACCAATGGACTGTAGCCCTCCAGGCTCCTCTGTCCATAGAATTCTTCAGGCAAGAATACCGGAGTGAGTTGCCATTTCCTTCTGCAGGGGATCTTCCCAACCCAGGGATCGAACCCAGGTATCCTGCATTGCAGGCAGAGCAGGAGGCAATTTCCCTTTTCTCTGGCACTCTGCTAGTTCAGCAACTTGTAGCTGCAACTAGACCCTGAATCAGGTCAAACAAGGCAGGCATCATCTGTCCGCCTCTCATCTCCCAGGCAACCACACTTGCAGCTCAGTCATGAATCCACAGGCACCAGTGGCCTCCAGGCACAGCTGCCCAGGAGGAGCTGACAGTCTCCCCTGTTCCTTTCAGGAGAATAAGCCCCTTGTCTGTCTATATCAGGCTTCTGGGAGGACAGGATTTTACAGTTCTATCCAGAGCTGAATCTGCCTGCTGTTTTCTTGTCCACTTGCCCAGGGAAAAGCAGTGAAAGATGATATTTATTGTAAACTGATAGACTGTGATCCTCTGTGTGCTCACCCAGACTGGGATAGTTTGTATTTGACCCCCTTAAATGCTCCATTTGAGGAAAGAGAATCTAAAGATTTCAACTCAAGAGTTTCTCTGAATTTCTTCCAATGTTTTTCTGTCATCTTCCTCTCATAGAAAGACAAGAAAACCTCTCTCAACATTCCCTGGAGAAAAAAAAGAATCAATTTTTAAGAAACTGATATCTACATGACCAGATTTTTATAATTTATGGAGAAACAGTGTGTTTTTTTCTAGACAAAAACAATTTTAATTTTCAAGAAATATGCCTAAAGAAGCATGCTGTATAGGAATAGGATAATAGTTGTTAAATATGTTATTTTTTTAAATAAATGTATTTATTTTTAGTTGAAGGATAATTGCTTTGCAATCTTGTGTTGGTTACAGCCAAACATCAAATGAATCAGCCATAGTTATATCTATGTCCCCTCCCTCTTATTTTTTCTTTTATCAATTTTTATTTTACATCGGACTATAATTTTTTGACAACATTATGTTAGCTTCAGGTGTACAGCAAAGCAATTCAGCTATGCATGTATTTTTTTTTCAAGTTTTTTCCTCTTTAGGTTATTACAGAACATTGAGCAGAGCTCCCTGTGCCCTGTAGTTTGTCCTTGTTGGTTACCTATTTTAAAGATAATAGTGTGTATGTGTCGGTCCCAAACTCCCGATTTATCTCCTCAACCACCTTCCCCTTTGGTAGCCATAAGTTTGCTTTCTAAGTCTGTAAGTCTGTTTCTGTTTTGTAAATAAGTTCATTTGTATAAGCTTTTGAATTCTGCAATATAAGCAATATTATAATGACATTTGTCTTTCTCTGTCTGATAGTTCACTTAGTATGGTAATCTTTCCATCCATCTTGTTGCAAATGTCATTTCATTTGTGTTAATGTGAAAGTAAAAGTCGCGCAGTCATGTTGAATCCTTTGTGACCCCACGGACTGTAGCCCACCAGGCTCCTCTGTCCGTGGGATTCTCCCTGCAAGTATACTGGAGTGGATAGCCATTTCCTTCTCCAGAGTATCTTCCTAGGATATCAAACCCAGGTCGCCCACATGGCAGGCAGATTCTTTACCATCTGAGCCACAGTTTCATTTGTTTTAATGGTTGAGTAATATCCCATTGTATATCTGTTCCACATGTTCCTTGTCTATTTTTCTGTCAATGGACATTTAGATTGCTTCTCTGACATGGCTGTTGTAAACAGCACTGCAGTGAACATTGGGATGCGTGCATATTTTTGAGCCATGATTTTCTCTGGAAATACGCTCAGGACTGGTATTGCTCGATCATATGGAGCTCTATTCTTAGTTTTAAGGAAGCTCCATATGGTTTTCCACAGCGGCTGTACCAATCTACATTCCCACAAGCAGTACAGGAGAATTCCCTTTTCTCCACACCCTCTCCAGTGTTTATTGTTTATAGACTTCTTGATGATGGTCTTTCTGACTAGTGTGAGGTGATATTTTAGTTTTGATTTTTATTTCTCTAATAGTTAGCAGTGTTGAGCATTTTTCATGTGCCTTTTGGCCATCTGCATGTCTTCTTTGGGTAAATATGTGTTTAGGCCTTTTGCCCACTTTTTGGTTGGGCTGTTTGTGTTTTCTTTATATTGAGTTTCATGAACTGTGTGTCAGTTGTGGAGATTATTCCTCTGTGGGTTGCTTTGTTTGCCAAACATTCTCTCCCATTCTGAGGGTTGTCTTTTCATTTTGTTTGTGGTTTCCTTGGCTGTGCAAACGCTTCTGAGTTTAATTAGGTCCCATTTGCTTATTTTTCTTTTTTATTCCCATTTTTTTAGGAAATGGATAAAAAAAAAATTGTGCTGCAATTTATATCAGAATGTTCTGCCTATGTTTTCCTCTAAGAGTTTTATAGTTTAATCTTACATTTGGGTCTTTCATCTATTTTGAGTTCATACTTGTGTATAGCATTAGAACAGGTGTCCCCAACTTTTTTGGCACCAGAGACCGGTTTGGTGGGAGATGATTTTTCCACAGATGGGAATGCACGTGATTTCAGGATAATTCAAGCACATTACATTTATTTTGCACTTTATTTCTATTATTATTACATCGACTATACCTCAGATCATCAGGTATTAGATCCTGGAGGTTGGGGACTCCTGTGTTAGAGAATGTTCTAATTTCATTCTTTTACATGTAGCTGTCCAGTTTTCCCAGCACCACTTATTGAAGAGTCTGTCTTTTCTCCATTGTATAGGCTTACCTCCTTTGTTATAGATTAATTGCCCACAGGTGTGTGGGCTCATTTCTGGGCTTTCTGACTTGTTCCACTGATCTATATTTAAACATTGTTTGCACCAGTGCCATACTCTTTTGATGACTGTAACTTTGTATTATAGCCTGATGTCAGGGAGCCTGATTCCTGCAGCTCTGTTTCTCTTCCTCAATATTGCTTTGATTATTTGTCTTTGTACAAATTTTTAAATAGTTTGTTCTAGTTCTATAACAAATGCCATTGGTAGTTTGATAGGGATTGCTTCCCAGGTGAAGGCAATGGCAACCCACTCCAGTACTCTTGCCTGGGAAATCCCATGGATGGAGGAGCCTGGTAGGCTGCAGTCCATGGGGTCACACAGAGTCAGACATGACTGAAGCAACTTAGCAGCAGCAGCTTCCCAGGTGGCACTAGTGGTGGAGAACCAGCCTGCCAATGCAGGACACAGGAGACATGGGTCTCAGTCCCTGGGTCAAGAAGATCCCCTGGAGGAGGACATGGCAACCCTCTCCAGGATCCGTGCCAGGAGAATCCCATGGACAGAGGAACCGGGGAAGCTCCAGTCCCTAGGGGTGCAAAGAGACATGCAAGACTGCAGTGACGTAGCACACCTTGAATCTGTAGATTGCCTTGGGTCGTATACTCATTTTGACAATATTGATTCTTCCCATCTAAGAATATGCTATATCTTTCCATCTGTTTGTGTCAAGTTCCATTTCTTTCATCTTGTCTTATGGCTTTTGGAGTACAGGTTTTTGTCTCCTTTGGCAGTTTTATTCCTAGGCTAGGTCTTTTATCCTTTTTGATGTTAAGGTACATGGGATTGTTTCTTTGTCTTTCTGATCTTTCATTGCAGGATA